ATGATTCTTCTTATACCTGTTCAAATTAACAAATTTTCATACAAACTTTCATTCCCTATTTTATCTTTTATTATATTATTCAAAATCCTTTTTTAGCGGATGCCTACATCATAACATCTACCTGCATGCCAAATTTCAGCCCGTCCAGTGGTTTGGGCTGTGCGTTGATAGATCACTATGTCAGTCAATCACCTTTGAGTTTTATATATATAGATATCGAAGAAGATATTTGCATGAAATCTAAAGAGAATAGAACTGTCGTCAGTATGAAGATTATATAATACTTTGTTTCTCAAGATAAAACAAGAATTTATATGATTTGGTGGTACTACTCATGATCTTAATATTTAAAACCAAAATAGCTGAGTCAGTCATGCACTCGTGGTTTAAAAGTAGAAAACAAAGTCTGTTAGCTAGTACTAGAACTAGGCAGGTGTTTGTATAGAATCCTAAACTTAAATTTGACTACAGCGTCCTTGTCATTCTCTATACAGAATGAATACAGAAAATGAGAGACTGATGTAAAATTTAGTTTTGTTAAGAGAATCACGCCAGAATAGACACCAATGTATAGATGGAAAATGTATAATAGATTGCTGGATCAATACAATCGAACATCGAAATCTGAGGCCCGTATTATAGAAAGATTCTCAATAATGAATCTAGTCTTGAGACAGAAAGGGATGTCGCTATATATAGCACATAGCGACATCCCTTTCTAACTGTATTCGAATAAAGATCAACACTTAGTTTTCATTCTGTAATACGGGCCTCAATCTCATAGATTCAAACTAAAAAGGACTTTGTTATCCACATACATCTTCTTTACTTTCATGAGCTGCTGCAACAAGCAATCTTTTTCATGAAAACATAAAATTATTGACTTAATATCTTACAGACGCGCATGTTATGCAAGTCACGCACTGTCACCAAAATTCATGATGGCCTTTAAGCAAAGTGGCCTTGCATACTTTTTCGGAAAGCGAACTGATGCGTAACCATACCATTGTTTAATTCAATTAGCCTATGCAGTGGAGGGGATGGTGTCTGTAGTGGTGGGAGTTTAGATTTTGGAGTTCCACAGGGCTGTGTTTTGGGTCCGATTTCGTTGAGTTTATGTAAAAATAACAATAAATTGCTATTTTTATTATTATAATTGTGTATACTGAATGAAAGAAAACCGAAGTACGCTACTAGTTTTTTTTTTATATAAAGGCATATTTTATAATAAATAAATATAATTATTGGTATTATAAGATTCTGCTTATTATTAAGTAGAGCATTGTTGGAGTTTTCTCTTAATTTTCCCCAATGTTGTAGTTTCATATTTTCCCTTTATGAATTGTGCGTGATCAATTTTAGTAGGATAGTTTAGCGGATTTACGCAAGGAAATTTCGCATCGACGCAAATAAACCGGCGGAAGAACAAATAACGGAGAAATTGATTACGTCGATGAACAGCCGACGATACGGTACACTTGCTGTTAGAACAGAAGAATTCTGGCTAATTATATTTGTACGTTTACAAACAACAACACGGAAACTAGTTTTATCCTTAACCACATTTTTGTTTTCTTCGAACTTAAGTAGGTTCTCTTTTATAATAGACTAGCTTCCGTTCGTGACTTCATCTATATCCACAAAGTATTCCTTGTCTCAATTCAGGTACCAAACTATATAGCTATGTGCCAAATTTAGCCCAAATCCGTAACAGCCGTTATTTTCAGATTCAGTTACGTTACAAACATATAAACATAAAAATTTTCGCATATTTCATTAGTAGGATAGGTATCCCTGTGTCAATAAGATTAAATTTCTTGTATAGGAGTCACAGAATGTTTATTTTGTAAATTTTTCATTGATGTGTTCACACTTTTTAGTAGGTATATTTTCACTATCCCCGTTTTACGAAGAGATATAGCCCGCTGATGGATATGGGAGGCTTATCAATGGGTTTCCGTTGTCATTCTGCAAGTACGGTACCCTTAAAATAATACGGCAGACTTTTTCGTCTAAATTTATAATAAGTGCATCTAAATTTTTAATAAGTTCTTCCTACCTACCAAGATGATACCCACGATACGATGGATACGTGAGCATCACAAAATACCTTATGAATTATGATCCAATGACCTTACGTTCTTTTACCGAAGTCGGCGAAGCGTTGTAACTTATATGCTAAAACATAACATAGAGAAATGGTTCCGAAAAGGCAAACGGGTATTTGTCTATCATATAAGTACATATATATATAGAACGGAAGATGTTTTTTAAGTACCTAATTAGGTGCACTGCAAAATAACTGTCAATCTTAAACAACTCAGTAATAATTATAAGATAACACTGTATAGATCTTTCTACTACTTGCCTTTTATATGATTGTACAGCTGTTATATATGACACTAGCGGCCCGCCCTCGCTTCGCTTCGGTGTAGAGCTGAAGTGTAGACTACAGTTTTTGTTCTCAGGCTTGTATTATACACAATGACATTCATCTATGATTCTTCTTATACCTGCATGCAAAGTCTCAGCCCGATCGGTTTAAAATTGACAAAGTTTCATTCCCTATTTTATCCCCTTGGGGTAGAATTGATCAAAATCCTTTCTTAGCGGATGCCTACGTCATAACAACTACCTGCATGACAAATTTCAGCCCGATCCGTCCAGTAGTTTGAGCTGTGCGTTGATAGATCACTATGTCAGTCAGTCACCTTTGAGTTTTATATATATAAGATAGATTGTAATTATGAAATTAAATCACTTTAAAAAAATAACTTTTAAAGACACCAGCTTCGAACTTCATCACTACATTACGAACCAGGATCACACTCATGCTCCTTTCGATTCTTCTTTATTAATTTTGCTGTTGGTACATGATCGAATATTGGTTTTTGAGCTATTATCATACGACCTTTACTTCTCCTCAACAGTGTATTTATTTGGTCCATAAAGTTTTTCCGCTCGTTCTACGAATAATTTTCGTCTGTCTTCTTTCCTTTAAGCAGATTGTTCTAAATGTTCATTACCCATATCAATTTTATTGTTTTTCTACTCAATACATCAACATTTGCTGCTTAAAAAAACCGAATAAACACTTTCATATGGCTATTCGTAATTGGTATTTGTAAACCTGCCAATAGTCTCTCATTTTCCTTTCCTATAAAGTATGGAGGAGTATGATAAGGGCAATCTGATGTCAAAATAAAAACACGAAAGCGCCGACATGACGGAAGGATGTAGACAAAAATATTAAAATCCATTTTCACTGTAGAAGAAATTATACAATAGCACTCACTACAAAGACTACCACACTAGGAACAACGGCAGACCAAATAAAGGCCAATTAACATACGGAAACAATCTCTTCTGACTGCAAAGTGCACACCAAAGATAAAATCTATATATATAAATCTCAAAGGTGACTGACTGGCATAGTGATCTATCAACGCACAGCCCAAACCACTGGACGGATCGGGCTGAAATTTGGCATGCAGGTAGATGTTATGACGTAGGCATCCGCTAAGAAAGGATTTTGATCAATTCTACCCCCAAGGGGATAAAATAGGGAATGAAAGTTTGTATGAAACTTTGTCAATTTTAAACCGATCGGGCTGAGACTTTGCATGCAGATATAAGAAGAATCATAGATGAATGTCATTGTGTATAATACAAGCCTGAGAACAAGAACTGTAGTCTACACTTCATCTCTACACCGAAGCGAAGCGAGTGCGATATTACATATATCGTAAACAATTGCAGACGAGATTTATATTACTTTGACTGAGGCATAGTCTACGCTTTTGAGTGATTTTCATAAACTGATACATATAAGAGAACTAAATAAACGCAAACATAATCAAATATATTATTATTTTTATTATACCTGACATGATAGATAACGGATTAATGTACATTCAATCACACTAACATTACTAAATAATCGGTCAAATGTTTGCCACATCTCGTATAACAATTCAGGACAATATCGCTGCGGTAGGCATTGTGATTGACGATGCATTTTGAATTCGACCTCTTAGCCGCGTGATCGGCTGGCAATGAGAGTCAGTTTAATGGACCATTTTCCTGATTCACGACACGGCACGATAGAACCACAAACAACACTGTGACAAGAGGATAATGAGCGTTATATTCGCGTTCTTTTTACAGCCGAACAGGGACTGAATTGAATCTGAATCATATCTTTTCGTCTGAGCTAAGGGGTGTACAATCCGTTAGTTCTTGTACAGTTTCAGTATGGCTAAATGGACTTATCTTTGAACACAATGCTTACCATGTAGTGTAGTTGGAAAACACTTACGAGGATGCACAGCCAATGGGTCTGCTTACAGTCAGAATCGTGCGGTGTATACTAATAGCTAGTAATACCCACACACAGCAACATCTATGCGACCAGAATTCCGATTGGAGTCAGACTTCCTAATCGGAATAATCTTCTACTCAGCATTCCTCATTCATCTAGATCTATGTCGACTTTTCACTTCAAATTATTTAGTGTTTCTTAATATCTTTACACGACTACTAAACGGCAAAAATGCGCAAACATTTTAATTAGCCAAAAATAGAAATGAAGATATTTTAATGACGGAAGAACGAACCGGTCTAATATGGGTCGGTAGAATTAGGTACTCAACGAATTATAAAAACCTTGAAACATCAGTTCCTATATCGAAAAGTTTAATATCAATGTCTCAATTTAATTATATCACAAGACGAACAAATGGCGTACGCTATCAATGTCAACCTGTCGTTATGTTTTGGTAAAACTGATAGCACCTGAACGTGTTTTGATGGTCAAACTCTTATGTTTGTGTCACAATGGTACTGGGTGAAATATATTCATAGAATTGATAAGGAATCTGATAAAGCGTTGCCTAAAACTGATTGTCAGGCGTGTTACACATGCAGTATCGGTGACGTCATATTGTGCAGTGCAGGGGGCAGGTCTGGCGACCTTGCGCAACTGCCGCTCTACGGCGGCCGCGGCCGCGTCGCTGAATCCGGCGCAGTCACACGGGCGCATTTGCGCGGGCGCATTCAACTCCACGTAAATAATAAACAACATTTCGCAGTTCAATAATTTCGATAAGTAACGTGTGAAGTGTTCGTATTGTGAATCTAGACCAGCAGCAGCGGTTATGCATCTCAAAGTACTCGAGGGATGAGATGCAGGAAAGGCTTGTCCGAGCCCCCAGAAAATTACCGGTGCTACTCGGGAAGATATTGCTTCGTTGGATATTCACAAAAGCTGATATAGTTTTCTTCGCTTATCGGTGGGTTGTCATCTAATAGATAGCTAGCTGTTTATTAAATAACTTCATTCTAAATTAAATGTAACACATACGTGAAAGATAGTTTAAAAAGTTCGCTATTATAGATAAACAAGTTTGGTAAATAATTGTTGTGTCAGTGTTTTCTTGGGTGTATTATAAAATGTTTTATAGAGAAACCATATTTTGTTATGTGATCGAACAAAACATTTTACCGAATATCGTACGTTATTAAAAATATTAGCGAGCTACTTAATTTATGAGTTAAAGAATTTTCTATTTCTCTAAGATCTATTTGATAATTAAGCATAATGACATACTAACAATGCATACATGTTTTGAATTCGGTATGTATACATGAAAAGAGGATTCCTAAAAAATTGTGCGCAACATGTTGATTTCATTAATATTCAAAACATATTATATTTTTTGTCGGATTACTTTACAGAATTTGGGTATCTTGATTTAATAATAACGACCTCAAAGTTCGCAATCTACTTTGCTTTGAATAAACAGATTTTTTAACATACAGGTAAATATATAAAGATGCTTATCACAAAGTAATTATGCATCGAAAAATAAAGTGACGATAAAGCAGTTATCGTTATTCATATATAATATGATTATCTATCAAATTTAGAAAAAATATCAAGCAGTTACATGCTTTAAAAATAATAAAAATTATATCAAATTTATTGTTTGTACAAATAATTTATACCTGTTAGATATAATAAGTAAGTGGTAGTATCATTTTGATAATGTTAAAAATATGATGTTGTTTTGATCGCCTCGTGAATTTATCATCTAGTTTACGCTTCATTTATGACAATAAAACAAAAATAATTTTGTATTTGTGGTGAAATGAAAATGAATTTTTTACTTTTGTCTAACATATGACTTATTGCTAAGTCCATGGATAATTCGGAGAATGAGTTGACATAAATCGGTAAGTCTCACTATGTCTGGCTGGCCATCACTGTTTTTCCAAGTAGTGTCCGCGTTATTCTTAAAAATTTTCGGGTTAATATACATGATAATAATTTATTTGAACAACTTATGTGGTCCTTAAAGTGTTAGTAACAAAATTCACTTATATATCCAACTAGCTGTGCCCCGCGGTGTTACCCGCGGTATATAAGGGATATTTACCCGCAGTAAAACGTAGCCTATGTGCTAATCCAGGGTGTCAGCTAACTCCATACCAAATTTTATTAAAATCGCTCCAGCCGTTCAGACGTGAAGAAGTTACAAACAAACACACTCACAAACTTTCGCCTGTATAATATTAGTGTGATAAAGAATTTTCAAAATCGGTTCAGTAAATTCAGATATTACCCACTAAAACCTCACAAAGTTTACATCTTTATTACGGTGTCGATTCTGGCACGATTCTCTAAAATTAAAACTAAATTTAACATCAGTCTCTCCTTTTCATTCTGTATAGAGAATGACAAGGATACACTGTTGTCAAATTTAAGTTTAAATTTACATAATCACAGCAGAATCGACACCAATATTAGTACAGTATTGAAGATAACCAACATCGGAATTAATCGCGTTTGTATATCGCTTATCATGGCAATCGTACCTGTGGTGGAAATACTAAAGTAAAAAATCATCATCACATCGATTAATATCTGTTTGAAACGATATTTTTTTTTAATTCTCATTTCATTTCTTCCAATTGAAAAAGTGACATATTCATATCAATGTATTAAATTTATAGTTGAAGTTCTTTCATCCACTATCCATTTAAATATATAGTATGTATTTTTAGTCTGCAAAAGATCGAGTTGAAAAACTTTTATTACAAACTTATTTAAAAAACTAGCGGCTCGCCCTCGCTTCGCTTCGGTGTAGAGCTGAAGTGTAGACTACAGTTTATGTTCTCAGGCTTGTATTATACACAATGACATTCATCTATGATTCTTCTTATACCTGCATGCAAAGTCTCAGCCCGATCGGTTTAAAATTGACAAAGTTTCATACAAACTTTCATTCCCTATTTTATCCCCTTGGGGGTAGAATTGATCAAAATCCTTTCTTAGCGGATGCCTACGTCATAACATCTACCTGCATGCCAAATTTCAGCCCGATCCGACCAGTGGTTTGGGCTGTGCATTGATAGATCGCTATGTCAGTCAGTCACCTTTGAGTTTTATATATATATATAGATAAAAACATACAAATGACAAAATATTCGCGAAGGGTTCCCTCTATCTGGCAGAAGCTAAGAAATTCATTGGAAACACACTCACCTTTAAAATCGTACTTTTTTGTAAATATAATTATTGTTTGGCAGAATATTTATAATCCGAATTTTCACAATGATGGCAGAATTTTATTAGGCATTACCTTTGCCAAAATTTTATCCTGCATAATTTCGTTAAGCATTATCGCTGTTTGTGATCAGGGGGTTAGGTTAGTGTGGTAGGTACTTTACGCCAGTCACCATAGATAATAAATAAATAAAAAACCGGCCAAGTGCAAGTCGGATTCACGCACGAAGGTTTCCGTGCCATTATACTATAAACTTCTTACAGGTTTTCCTGTATTCTACTAATAACGAGCTACATTCCATTTTTTTTTAATTTACGCAGTAGCTTCGGAGATAAGGTTGACAAGTCATTCATTTATTTTCATTCATTTTACAGCTATAAAAAGAAATGGTTTGGAATTGAGCCCTTTCATTTTATATATATAACACTAGTGGCCCGCCCTCGCTTCGCTTCGGTGTTGAGCTGTAGTGTAGACTAAAACGACTCTTCATATAATTATAAAAAAAAACTGAAAATGGTACATTTGCCTTTTCCAAACTTCACTTGACATCACGTCACTTAATTGTTTTGCCTTCCCGGAACCTCTCCACTAACATTTGAAATTTATGTTATGGTATTAAAGTTCAAATTGACTTTTAAGTATTATTACGAATCGTTTGTATGGGAGTATAGAAAAGTGTTGTTTTTGGACTTTTTCAGGCATTTTTTTTTTAATTTTCTCTGCGTAAGAACCATCCTCGTACTTCAAGGAATATTCTAAAAAAAGAATTATCGAAATTGGTTCAGCTGTTCTCGAGATTTGCGCTTAGCAACACATTCAGCGATTATTTTTTTATATTATAGATACATATAATTTTGTACAGTCAGTGACCCCCAAAAGTAACTCAGTAGTAGAAGTAATTTAGAATTTATTTATTTGCTGTATTCGTTCGTGTTCGGGTCACAGACAGACACATGTATGTACTAAATTTTCACCTTGATCGATTCAGTAGTTTCCGAGCAAATCAACTGCGACATACAGACAGGCAACCTAGTGACCCTATAAGGGATCCGTTTGTGCCGATTGAGTTACAGAACCCTAACAAGAACAAGTTAAATATTTGTATGCCAAGAGAAAAGACGATTCTGGCTGAGAACTTTCTGCGTTATGATGGTTCTTGTTTTTAAATATTGTGGATGTTTTTATACCTAAAGATGATCATAGCTTAAACAATATGCGTTTAAATGTCTGATAAGCGATTAAATGATTTTGCCAAATGATTTTCTGCCAAATGAAGTCGATGCTATCCGCTCAAATGTATTATGCGAGTGTTCTGAGGAGCTATTCTCGCTTATCCCTCCATCACCTTTTCTTCAAAGGACCACGCGCGCTGGCCTACGTTGCCACCGACTTACTGTGGCCACTATTCCTACACGAACAAAGATATTTGGTGACTCATTTCTTTGTCGTACTATTCGTAATTGGAATTCTGTACCCGCGCACGTGTTCCCTCCTTCCTATAATCTGGGGTCCTTTAAGAGAGGCGTGAAGAAGCATTTTTGCAGGCCGGCAAGGTGAGGATGGTTGGTGTAACAGTTTATAACAGCTGTACCAGCTATTTCGCGTTTGGACTTTATCACCACTTAACATCAGGTGGGGTAGAGTCATTTGCCTACCTCGCTATAAATATATATATATATAATATTATTAGTTTATGACATTAAAAGTTCCGCGATAGATGAAAAAAAAGAAGTCCCTAAATTCAAACCTAGTGCACAGAATGTTAGTTTTGCCTTACATTTTCTACAATAATGCGCATGTTACTAAGTATTTCCGATATAATTATATAAGACTCGCTTGGAGGTTGGGGAGGTCAAGACTTTACATGAACACTGACTAGATTGGAATTCATTGAACCCTCTGACTCGAAGCTATCACCTAAAGGGCTACTATCGCGTAAATTAAAATTATTAACATATAAACTTATAATTAAACAGAGTCACTCAACAAAATCTTAATAAATTCAACAAAAATTGCTGAAAATCTGAATTGAAATAGCTAATCTGCGTATAAAGAAACGTTATTACGTACACGCAATTTGTCATTGACTGACAGATGACAGCTAATACTATTGGTTTCAATTCATTTCTTTGATTGTGATTGGTCGTATCAAAAATCATGTGAAAGATTTACCATAATTATATTATCTGTGTTGCCATGAATTTAAATGTTAAAACATCATTTTATCCCGACTGCGCAATGCAAGAGCGCGAAGCGCGATGCGCAGACAGGGTATAGTGTTAAACAGTGTATATATGTATGTTTGTTTCTTTGTGGCACACTAGAGACCAAACGCCTGGACCGATTTTGATGATTCATACATCAATCGATTCGTCTCCATTATGGGAGTGCTACTAAAGAAATGATAGTAATCAAAATTCAATATTGGGAAAATTAGGCGCCATATTGTGACGAAGTAAAAAAAAAAGTTGACAAAATATGTCGAGTGGGGTATCATTGTCTAGATAATCGAAAATCATGTTTAGGTTCCTTATACCATTTTTCATTTTATATGAATATTTAGGATCTACAACGCTTTAAAGTTGTATATTAACCAATTGCGCTTTCAATTTCAATCTTACGTTTGTATGGATCTATATCTAGATATTCAAGAATACATAATATTTTTCAATACTGGGTCCCGACTGTTAAAGTAGCTTTGTTCCTTATTAACAGAATTATAG